TTTTTTTTTTTTTAAAGACAAGTTCTCACCGTGTAGCTCAGACTGGTCTGAAAACCTTGATCCTCCTGCCTCAGCCTCTCAGAGTGCTAGGATTACAAGCATGCACCACCATGCTCTAACTTTTATTCTATCTCAAGTATATAATTTTGTACTCTCTCAGATCACATTGCATTGGAACAATATTTCTAGCACATTCCTACCAGATGTGTGGTATGCAAACAGGAACACACTGGAGAGGTAACCCAAGTAGCCCTTCCAAATGTGAAGTTTTTAAAACTTGAATTGTACTCTAACATTCAACCAAATTTAGCATGCTAGTTATTGCCTAACTAGAAATTAGATGCTTTTAGGGTCGGGGATTTAGCTCAGTGGTGCTGCTGCCTGCTTGGAAAGCACAAGGTCCTAAGTTCCATCCCGAGTACCAAAAAAAAAGAAAAAATAGATCAGATGCTTTTGTACTGTGTCTTCCTAATTTCAGAAAATTAGATTAAGTGAACTGGTCCCATCTAATAGGTGCCTTATGCAGGCACTTTCTCTTTGTTTCTTTGTATCAGAATATTTGAAAACCTCAGTCTTACATGTGGTCTGAAGAGCAGTAACTTTTTTTTTTTGGTACCTGGGATTGAACTCGGGTCCTTGTGCTTGCCCAGCAGGCAGCGAAACCACTGAGCTAAATCCCTGGCCCTAGAGCAGTAACTTTTGTTTTTGAAATTTATTTTGTATCCATTCTCTTACAGGCTATATTAGTAAATTCTAGGAATAGAGAAGCAGAAATGCTATCAAAGATGGCCCTAGTCATCTATCCTATTATAGATGGGCTGGTTAGTTGTCTCATGAGGAAGACCCAAAGGGTCTCTGATCACTTTGGTCTTTCTCTGTTACTGTCTCAAATAACTTTTCCAGGGGAAGAGATAACCCATAATGCCTTTTACCATCAACATTTTAATTTATGTCATACACAACTTAGAATTTTAGCTCACTCCTTCTCCCCATGACCAGATACCTTCTGTGCCGCCTGTCCCCCTTGGTTTTCACTGCAGATCCTATTGGGCAGGGACAGCTCTGAAGAGCAGTTTTGATTTTGTTTTGTAGCTGTTGATGAGGAAGTTGTGCCTAAGGAAAAAGGCTGCTGAGTAACTTAGCCTTGGGGACTTCTGCTCATCATAAAAGCAGTAGTGAAAGGGGCAGGGATTTAGCTCAGTGGTGCCTCACAAGCACAAGGTCCTGAGTTTTATCCCTGGTACCAAAAAAAGAAAAACAAAAAGCAGTAGTGAGTTAGTTTATGGCATTAGGGGTTTTATCCTTTCTTGTGACTTTTATATTCTTTCTTGAGGAAAAATAATTTCTTCATAAGGTCAGATTCTCTGACCGAGCCAGCACATCTCTCAGTGGTAGAGTCACCTGCCTCTCATTTTGTCCCACACGTGCCCTGAAATGAAGGCACCCAAACATCCAAGCTTTGTTTCTTTGTTTTGCAGTTTCTCTTTTTATTCATTTTACCAACGCTGAGAAAATCAAGAGGTGTGTGTGTGTCTGTCTGTCTGTGTCTGTGTTTGTGACTGTGTGTCTGTGTGTTTTAGTTTGGTTTGGCTTGATTGTTGTTGAAGCCAGAGTCTCTCTATATAATCCAGGCTGGCTTTGAATTTGTAATCTGCTTGCCTCAGCCTTCCAAGTCCTAGGATATGTACTGCCACACCTGGTTTTCAAGAGAGAATTTTTGAGGTGAGGTCATTTCAGCCAGTGATTTAATGACTCCTTGATGCAGATTTGTCCTCATGGAATGGGTACCCTCTTTTTCAATCCTGACCGGATTACTAAAAGCACTGTTAAAGCATTTTATCATCACACACTTTGCTAATTATTTCTCTTTCCTCTCTGTCTTGCTCCGCATGCACGTGTGTATGCGCATACATGCATACACACAAGCATGTATATTTAATGACTAATAAAAGGTTGATTTATTACAGTGGAAATCTAAAAGACAGAGGACTGGTTTAACTTCAGATTCCCACCCCATAGCTATAATCAATGTGGTGTTTGATAAGAACACCACTCTTAAAAAAAAAAAGAACACCACTCTTTTTCCTGTGAAAACTTGGCCACCTGTTTTTTACTTAGCACTAGTACCACAAAAAGGAGCTTCTTGTTAACATTAAAAACCCAACTTTTCTATTTCTGACTACATAATGAAAATTTGATCCTCTGGGCTTTTACCAAAATGATCCATAAGACTATCTGGCTAATGTAAATTTTCTTTGCTGATTTTCTTTGTAAAATGTTTAAGATACCAAAATACCCACACCCAAGCCAGGCATGATGTGCACACCTATAATCCCAGCACTCGGGAGGCTGAGCCAGGAGGATCACAAGTTCAAGCCCAGCCTGAAGTATGCAGTGAGTCCCTTTCTCCAAAAACCCACAAAAAACTACACCTAGAGTCATTGAGAAAAAATAGGTGCTTCCAGAGGATGAACCACCTGGACTACCTAGAATGCTTTGAAACTCCCAGATCCCACTGTGTGGAGCATTAGAGATGGTATTGTTCAGCTTTCCCATCACTGGGGAAAAAAATACCTGATACCTGTGACTTAAAGGAATAGAGGTTATTTGGCTCACAATTTTAGACGGTTCTGTCCATGGTCACATGGTTCCAAGGCAGAAATGGCATGATAGAAAGCCCAGGTAGAGGAAAGTTGCGACCTGTGGCAGCCAGGAAGCAGATCATGAATGAAAGAGCCAAAAGAAGAGGTATACCCCAGTGGCCCACCTCCTCCAGCTAGGCTTCATCTTCTTACAGCACATTCAGCTAGGAACTCAACAGTGATGAGTATAGAACCTCGTGATCCAATTACTTTCCAAAAGTCCTACCTCTGAACATATGAGATTTAAGGGGGATATTTTAGATCTAAACCAGAACAGAGATAATCCATGCAAGGAACTTCAGGAGAGTGACAGAAAAGCTACTAAATAAAGCATTTGGTTGTACCTTCTAGGTTGTATCCCTGAATAAAATCTTTAGGGATTTAAGCGAAGTTATTTCAGAAACCATGAACAGAAATATTAGGGATTTTTTTTTTTTTTTAGTAAGACAGACATCGTTTACAAAAAACTTCTTATCACATCTAGGCTGGTTTATAAATTGAATGACTATTTGCTTTTACTTTGATATTCCCACCAATTTATGACTATTTTTAAACCCCAACCATAAGAATTTAAGTCCCTGTAGAGTACTCATTACCCTTGCTTGAGACTGGACAATTCTAAATTATTCTTTCTTCATCCTGCTCCTGAGTTCCTCTTGTCAGGGCTTTATGCCACACAACCCATTCTCTGGGGTACCTACCTTGTGGACCAAGAATGGTCAGTACTGAGTGACAGAGGAACCCACATCCATTGCTCATCCCTTGGTGCTGCTAGTTCTGTAATTAGTAGAACGAAGATCATGGTATTCATGTGTAACCTATTCTTTCTAAAAGAGTAACTTGCCTTTGTGGATGACAGCTGACTCAGTATGACTTACCTGTTGCATTAGAGAAGCCCCAGAGGGTTTGCTTGCTCATGTTTGGATTCACTGTCACCTGTACCATATAGCACCTGTGCATGTTGGGCATGTGTCCAGGCCAGTGTTGCAGGAAAAGAGCCTATTTTTTATTTTTTATTTTTTTATTTTTCAGAACCACTTTGTGACAAAATTCAAAGAATCTTTTTGAGAAAACAAATAAAAGAATAGTATAAGCCAGGCATGGTGGCACACAATGTAACCACAGTACTCTGTGAGGCTGAGGTATGAAGATCACAAGTTTGAGCCCAGCCTGAGCAACTAGTGAGACCCTATCTCAAAGTAAAGGAGTTGGATGTGGTGGCACATGCCTGTAATCCCAGCCCTGTAGAAGGCTGAAGCAGGGGTCTTATCAAGACTCTCTCAAAAGGAAAGAGGAGTATAGGCATGAAGCTCAGTGTGAAGGACATATATACATAGGAAGGGCCTGAGTTTCAATCTTCAGTACTGACCAAAAAATGATAGTTATAATTATTATAGTTATTCACTTGCACTAAACAAGGCAAGTCAAACGAGGAGATCTGAGAATTAGTGCTTGAGAATGAAGCACTAAAGATATCATATGTCATGATCTCTGTCACATCACAGCAACACTTCCTATCTAGGAACTTACAGACTGTCTTCTTTGTTATCATTTTAACTGCTTTAGTCATTGCTTCTTCTTTTGGTTTCCTTGTATACTCAACACTTCCATCCAGAGAAGATCATTTCAGTTTTATGATCATGACCAGGCTTTTCTCTAGACTAGATCTGGCATTGAATATGCCAGAGCACGTATTAGTATATGCATAAATCCTCCAGCTTCTCTTTCCTTCATCTTAAAAATCTTATTCACCAGAACATTGACTTGATTTTTTAATTTATTGTTTTAATTTTCTGATTTTTATTTAACTTCATTCATATGAAAAAGCCCTTTTGTTGATGCTTTCACAATTTCATATGGAGGTTTTTCACAATTTCATAGAGGTTTTTAATTCTACATTTGTGTATAACTGCTTCAATTCAGCCCTCTCTCGTTTTTCTGATATGGCTGAGAAAGGCTGAGAAAGCCCTGAACTGGGGACCATCTTGCCTCAGGGAACTCTCTCCACATTTGAGGGGAGGTGGAAAAATATCAGTGACTTCAGAATGCACTGAAATTAGTATTAGAATCATTTCCATACATGAAGTAGAGGGGGCATTATGGTCATTTGTGATCAGAAAGAGCATAAGAGCTGATGAATTCTAGCCCTCGCTATGTGCTGGGCTAAAAATAGGTGCTGGTCATAGCAGAATATCTTTTTCAAATTCAAACCAGCCTCTGGAAACTGGACTGCTTGGATCTAGATTTTAGAGATCTTGGTGTAAGACAGATTGTGGCTTTAGGATCCTAAGGAAGAAAATTGCCATGAATCTTAATACTTTTACTTTTTTTTTTTAACCAGTAAAAACTGAGTGATAACATTGGGGTAAGACAAACTATTAGCAGCAGTTAGTGGCTTGTAGGTGAGCATTGCATCTCCACTGTGAATATTTCTTTGAGAAATATTACCTACACCTAATAGGAGTATATTATCTTCTTTTCCAAGTCTTTATAACATCATCAAGTATCAAATTAAACTTAAGGCCTTCATATGTATATATGTCCTGTATCTTAACTTTATCTGTGTAGTGGTGCCCAGATGAATAAATTTGGGCTTTCCTTTTGACTTTTTACTTTGAACATTTTTAAACTCAGTCCTCTCTGAGAATGGAGGACATAGCAGTGGGAAAGCACTGATACAACGTGAAAGCACTGAAACAACATGATACGACGTTATTATCCAACTTGCTTTTTAAAATGTTGTGCAGCCAGGGATTTAGCTCAGTAGCAGTGGCTCAGTGGCACCTGCCTGGCAAGCGCAAGGTACTGAGTTCAATCCCCAGTTCTGCAAAAAAAAAAGCTCTGAAATCTCATTATGGAAATGCCAGTGCTGCAGATTGGTATTTAACTTTCTCCCATCCCCCCTCTTCCTTTCCCTGTCCTCTTACTCTTCATTCTTCCATGGCATCTCACTGTGTTGCCCAAGCTAGCCTCAAATTTGCAATCCTCCTGCCTTAGCCACCCAAGTAGCTGGGATTACAGGTGTACACCACAGCACCCAACTTTAACAGGCCAATTTTCTTATGCTTGGGTTTCTATCTCATTTAGTTATGTTTCCAACGAACTGCATTATCCATTCATATAATAAAACACCTGGGTTTTGTTTTTGTTTTTGTTTTTTGCGGTACCAGGGATCGAACTCAGGACCTTGAGCTTGCGTGGCAGGTGCAGTGCCACTGAGCTAAATCCCCAGCCCAAAACACCTATTTTTAATAGAGTCTGTATTGTCTTCAAAGAAATGGGTCATTGTTATCTTCATGAAAGAGCAGGGAAGAGCCACTGTTGTATTTGCTGAGTGTCTCCATGCTTGGAATTTCTGAAGACACGCAGTGGTATGTTTGAGTGGCAGTAGAGAGAGGGCTGTGTCCTGTGCTTATTGTTCTTCTTTGTGGTTTCAGAGGTGGTGGCCCAGTGGTGCACACAGGGAGACTTACTGGCAGTTGCTGGGATGGAGCGGCAGACCCAGCTCACTGAGCTCCCCAATGGACCCCTTCTGAAGAGTGCCATGGTGAAGTTCTACAATGTTCGAGGGGAGCACATCTTCACACTGGACACACTTGTGCAAGTAAGTACATTTTTAAGAACTCTGCTATGTTGGTGTGCCCCTGGTTCTGGTAAATACTCATGAGTTGATTATACTCATTGTAATTATCTTTGACAAATTTTATTTGTTGTTTATTCTTATTTTTTTATTTAAATTGAATTGTGGTATATAAACCAAGAGAAATAGGGAAGGAAACAAGTTTTGCTTTTTAACCAGAATATTTCATATCACAGTCATTTAAGGGGATAGTGAATCAGCAAAGTGAGCTGGTATTGATCAGCATTCTATAGAAGAAATCAGACACTTTCAAAAGTGAACACTTGGGGCCAGGGATTTAGCTCAGTGGTTATGCCACCTGTCTGGAAAGCACAAGGACCCGAGTTTGATCCCCAGTACCAAAAAAAAAAAAAGTGAACACTAAATCTTTATGTACTTGTAAGGAAGAAAAACTAATTGTTACGAGTTCTTAGCTGGGACTCCTTTTAACAAAAGACAGATTAACAAGAGAAAAACATGTTTAATAACATATATACTTCCTGTATGATAATGGGAAATAACACAGAGAAATGAGTAAATCTTTAGATCGCCTACAGTTGTCTTAGATCTCAGACTCAAATATTAGGTTTCCCCTCCCCAGTCCACAGCAACCAGCATTTTTTACACTCTTTCTGTGAGTTTGACTTAAACAAGTCATGTAAGCATATAGACTGGCTTATTTCACTTAGTGTAATATCCTCACAGTTTATTGATGTTGTAGCATATGCCAGAATTCCTTCCTTTTTAAGGTTGAGTAATACTCCTTGTGTGAATACAGAACAATTTGTTTACTCCTTCATGTATCTATAGACATTTGGGTTGCTTCCAGCTTTTGGTTATTGTGAATAATGCTGCTCTAAACATGGCTGTTGAGAGTCTTCTTTTAGATATACTTTGGATATGTACCCAGAAGTAGAATTCTGGATCACATGATAATTCTATCTTAAATTTTTTTTTGATGACCTGCCATACTGTTTTCCACAGTGGCTATATCATTGTACATTCCTGCCAACATTGTACAAGAATTCCAGTTTTTCTGTGTCCTTGCCAACACTTGTTAATAGTAGCCATCTTATTGAGTGTGAGGTGATAACTCATGGTTCTGATTTTCATTTCCCTGATGATTAGTGTACTGAGCATCTTTTCATGTTTGTTTGTTTGTTTGTTTGTTTTGTTTTATTTTGTTTTTTGGTACCGGGGATCGAACTCAGGTCCTTGTGCTTGCGCAGCAGGTGGTGAAACCACTGTGCTAAATCCCTAGCCCATCTTTGCATGTTTTTACTGGCCATTTGTATATCTATAGAGAAATGTCTGTTCAAGTCATTTGTCCATTTTTAATAAGTTATTTTTTATTGTTGTTGCTGAGTCATAGAATTTAAATATATCTTTGACAGTGTAATATCTTTTGGGCAAATAAGCATGATTGTTCAAATATGTAGCAAACATTTTGAAAGGCTACTATCTGGGTGGCACTGATTTTTAAGTTGTAATATTTAGGAACTGAACAAGGAAGACACACTCCATGCCTCATAGGGCATTGGAAGCCAGTTAAGGAACACAGAAAAATAATCACATAAATGCTTTAAATTTTACAGTAGAACTGTATGCCAACTGTTACAACTTGGAGGAAAGGAGTTTTTACTAAGACTTGGTTTTTATGGGTATTTTTCTATCTCTGCCTGGTCCCTCTTATGTCACTGAGCAGTTCTCAGGCAATTTCAGGTTTAAGTACTTCAGCTTTAAGTACTATCTCTATAAAGGTTTGGAGCCTAGGAAAGAGAACTGTAAAGACCCAACTCCTTATTTCACACACCCATCTCATAAGCACTCCAACATGTTCAGTCCTCAGGATACTCCACCTCCCAGATAGGTTACTCTCAGCTCCATCACCCCTCAGCTCCTCCAGCCAGAAACCAAGCCAGCCAGATTCTCCTGTCTTGCCCACTCCCCTGTTCATGAATCCCAGTGGATATTTTTACTTCCTTAATATTTTAGTATCTGCATCCTTTTTTGTATATTAGCTAGTATCCTAGTTCAAGCTACCATCCTTTCACATGCAGTGTTAAGTCCATACCTTTCTCTTCTAAACCGTTCTTCACTTGATAGAGTCTATAAAATCATGAGTCAGATCAGTAGCCTCTTACTGCACTGATTGTAAAGTCTAGAGTCTCTTGAACCTTAAAGAGACCTCCACTAACTAGCTATTATACTCTCTAGAATTAGTTCTTACCACTCCATCCCCCTCTGACCCTGACATTCCTCACTCTTCTCCTCTGTTATCCCAGATACTTTTGTGCTTCTGTCTGAGCAGATGTATCACTGCTGCAGAGGGCAGACTGTTGGGTTATACTGACCCCATTGCCCCCTATCAGTTTTGATGATGTTCATCAAACTTGTCATTATTTCTTAAGGGTCTCTTTCAAGGTAATTGAAAGCAGAGTCCTATCTGTGGTGCCTTACACATAATAATAGGTGTTCAGTAAATTAAGGTATCATTGAATGAAAAAGCTACTTGAACAAGCACACAACCCACATGCAAAGTACTGAGGCTGCATCTTTATCTGAATGTTTCTGCTGGTCATAGAGCAATTTCAGTGTAGCATGAATTAAGGAAATACACATTTAGTACTTTTTGGACACCTGTGTACTCAGCAAAGGTTGTAAGTATTTTCATCTGGAACAGATACTATTCTAGAACCTACTACCATCACACCTATTGCACCCTATTGCAGGGCTTCTCTTTAGCCCAATAGTCCTGCTTAAAATTCCTTGGAAGTTTCCTCCCACAAACCCTCACCAGATCTTGCATCACTCTCTGTCCTACCTTCCCCAGTTTCATCTAGTGCATCTTCCTTTGTATTACCATGTACTAGTTATTCTGCCTGCCTTGCTGTGGCTTGAATATGCTGTCCTCCATCCTTCTCTTGGCTGTTTGTCTGTGCAGAATCTGCTTTACTGGCCCTTCTCCAGTCCAGCTCATCTTTACCCATCAGGTCCTAACTCAGGCCTCACCTCTGAGGAAAGACTCTCCCTAACGTGCTCTCCCTTTCTGTGATACTCTACTCTCTCACAGCTGTGCTCTGTTTTATTATACTATTTCTGTCTTAGTATTTATCAGAATCTGAAATTCTTTTGTTATTTGCTTAATTGTTTCATCTCACTGGAAGGTAAGGAGTCTGAGTGAAGCAACCTCATGTATCCTATCCTCCATATTCTACTTCAGGTTTATAGAACCGTGCCTGGCTCATGGTAGAATGTCAGGAAGCAGCTGTTGAATGAATCACATCTTATTGCTGTGCCTTGCTTAGTGAGTTTAGTGATTCCCAGGGATCAGATAAATTGATTTTCTTGCTATCTGTATTATCTCTTGCTTTCTTTAGTTACTGGTAATCATAACATGATTTCTTTTTTTAAGCTAATAATTAATTTTAGAAATAGAATACAGTTTGAATATAGCATAGGTTATACAAAAAGCATCAATAAGGAAATAAAGACTACAAAAATTCTTTAGGTCCAGATGTGTCACATCTTCAATGCCTGCTCTCTTAGTCCATTCAGGCTGCTATAGCAAAGTTTCTTTTACTGGGTAATTTATAAATAATAGAAATTTATCTCTCACAATTCTGAAGCTGGGATGTCCAGGCTCAAGACAGCAGCAGCATCAGCCTCCAGTGAAGGCTCACTCTCTCTGGCCTATAGGTGGCTTCTTGTTGCTGTGTTCTCACATGGAGTAAGGGATAGACACAGAGGAGCAGAGCCCTCATGACTTAGTCTCTTTCCAAAATGCCCTGCCTCTTAGTGCTACCACAGTGGTGACTAGATTTCAGTTTGGAAGGATACTTTTTGTTTTTGGTTGTTGCTTTTGAGACAGGGTTGCACTATGTAGCCCAAGCTGACCTCGAACTCATGGTGATCCTCCTGCTTCAGCTTCACAAATTCTGGGATTACAGGTGGTGGAAGGATACATTGTGACAGTAGCATTGGCCAAGATGTTACAACTTCATTTGGTCTTTGAGGTTATGCAGGGGTGGGAGGTGGAGACAGACAGGGAGGGAGGGAGAGAGGGGCTTTAGGAAGACTAATCAGACAGCTGTGTGCCATAATCCCAGCCAGACAGAAAGAGGAGGGAAAAGTAGAACAGTGAGACTGGAGTGGCAGAGACAGGAAGCAGATCAATGTCAAAGACTTGGTCTCTTGTCACATAGGAGGAGGAAGGTGTTAGTACCAGTGAAGGCAGACAATTTCGGTTATAATTCCAGCTAAATGTCTGGGTGGAGGTAATTAGAATATAGTTGGGCATGTGGGGCTGAAAGTCATCCAAGAGACTGGAGTGAAGACAGAGGTTTGGAGTCATCTGCAGGGAGGCTGTGGTTGGAGAAATACACTTGGATTAAACACCAAGGGAATGAATAGGGGGAAATGGCAAATGAGGAAAAGGCCAAGCATAGAACTTGGATATCATTTAGTAATCAGCAGAAGGGAGGAGGACACAGAGAGGAATGTGATAAAGAAATCATTAAAGGGGGCCGGGGATTTAGTTCAGTGGTTTTGCCACCTGCTACGCAAGCACAAGGACCCAAGTTCAATCCCTGATACCAAAAAAAAAAAAAGAAAGGAACTGTGTCAACCTAGAGGATGACAGTTAAGTACAGCCATGAGAAAATTGGATTTAGAGGTGTCAAGATCAAGCAGTAGTCTCAGTAGAATAATAGTGATGGAAGTCACGTTGTCAAAGATTTGTTCAGTCAATCTTTACTAAGCTGTGTCAAGCGTTACTCTAGATGTTGGAGCTACATCTTCAACAGATAAAGAATTAGCAACAAAGTGGTTTAAGAAGTTGAAGCAACACAAACTATCTAAACTATAAACTATGTAAACTGTTTGAAGTTTGAGGGGAGAGAGGAGAGAGTATGGTAATTTATAATGAAGACATACGGCCATGTTTATAAGCAAATTATAAAGCTTTGGGACAAAAAGAAATAAGG